TGGAAGTCAGTAACAGAGAAGAAAACTGGAAAATTCACAAATATGTGAAAATTAAACAGCACACCCCTGAACTATTGATGGGTCAAGGAAGAAATTAAAACAAATGAAAAAAATGTTGAAATAAAAAAGTGGAAACAAACACGAAAGTTAAAGGATACTGCAGAAGCAGCTCTAAGAGAGAAATGTATAGCAACAAATGCCTACATTGAGAAAAAAAACTCAGCCTAATTTTCACCTCAAAAAATTAGATAAAGAATAAACTAAGCCCAAAGTTAACAGAAGGAATGAAATAAAGACCAAAGCAGAAATACAAACTAGAAAAGCAGTAGAAAAATTAAGTGCTGGTTTTTTGAAAAGATAAAATTGACAAACCTTTAGCTAGACTAAGATAAAAAGAAGACTAAAATATATAAATTCAGAAATGAAAGGATGGACATTACAACTGATACCGCAAAATACAAAGGATCGTAACAGACTACTGTGAACAGTTGCACACCAAAAATTGGATAACTTAGAATAAACAGATAAATTCTTAGAAAAGTACAACATGCCAATATTGAGTCATGAAGAAATATAATATCTGAACAGACCTGTAACTAGTAAGGAGATGAATATAGATATCCACAAATGATAGTGTGAAAACTGGATATCCATAGTTATCAATAGCAAGAGAGTCAACAAAAATTAACTCAAAATGCATTAAAGATTTAAATGTAACACTTGAAGCCATAAAGCTCCTCCTTAGCAATGACTTTTTGGAAAGGACACCAAAAGCCCAGAAAACAAAAGCAAAAATAAGTGGGATAACATCAAACTAAAAAGCAGCTGTACAGCAAAGGGAACAACTAAATGAAAAGGCAACCCGTGGCATGGTAGAAAATATTTGCAAGTCATGTCTCTAATAAGGGGTTAAAATATCTAAAATACATACAAGAAACTCATTTAACTTAATAACAGAATAATAAATCAAATTTAAAAATCAGCTCAGGATGTGAATAGGCAGTTTACCAAACAAAGCATGCAAATGGCTTTGAAGTATATGAAAAGGTGTTCAACATCACTAATCATCCAAGAAATATAAATCAAAACCACAGTGAGGTAACACTCACACTTGTTAGGATGGCTGTTATCAAAAACATACACTTGTTGGCAAGGATGTAGAGAATAGGGAATGCATTATACTGTTGGTGGGAATATAAATTGGCACGGCCATTATGAAAACAGCATGGATGTTCTTCAGAAAATTAAGAAAACTAGAACTACCAAATGATCCAGCAATCCCACTTCTGGATATATGTCCAAATTAAATGAAATTGATATCTTGAGATGTCTGTGCTCCCATGTTCATTATAGTAATATTCACAATAACCAAGATACAGAAATGATAGATGGATAAGTGTCTGTTGATGGATAAGTGGATAAAGAAATTATATATACACACACACATATATATATATGTATATATACACACACACACACACATATAAACACAATGGAATGTTATTCAGCCATTAAGAAAAAAAATCCATTCCATTTGGGACAATATGGATGGACCTAAAGGGCATTACCCCAAGTGATTGCACAGTGTAACTTATGTATAGAATCTTTAAAAAAGAAAGTTGAACTGATATAAACAGTAGAATGATGGTTTCCACAGTCTGGGCCTGGGGGAAAAGGGAAGATATGGGTCCAGCGGTATAAATTTTCAGTTATAACTAAGTACTGAGGATCTATTGTACAGCAAGATGACTATGGTTGTATTGTATACTTGAAATTTGCTTAGGAGTAGATCTTAAGAGTACTTATCACCAAGAAAAAAAATAAGTAAGGCAATGGATACACTATTTAACTTAGTTGTGGTAATCATTTCACAGTGTATATGCATATCAAATCATCACCTTGTATACTTTTTTAAAAACATGACCCTTGAACAGTATGGGGATTAGGAACTACAACTTTCTGCTCAGTTGAAAATCCGTACGTAACTTTGACTTCCTTCAGACTGAACTATGAATAGTCTACTGTTGACAGGAAAACATACTGATAACAAACAGTGGATTAATACATATTTTGTGTTATATGTATACATACAATAAAGTAAGCTAGAGAAAAAAAAATGTGTTTCAACCTGTTACAGATCTCCAAAAATTTTCCAATAATTTATTGAAAAAAACTTGAGTGTAAGTGGACCCATGCAGTTCAAACTTGTTGTTGTGCAAGAGTCAACTATATATACAACTTTGTCAATTATACCTCAGTGAAGCTGGAGTGGGGTGGAGGAGCCAAAGTACTAGTGCCACAGTCTTAATTATTGTAGCATTAAAGTAAATATTGACAGCTGGTAAAGAAGGACATCTTACCATGTTATTTTTTTTTCCTCCTCTCCCCAGAGTGGCTTGATCTACTTCCAAAAAGGATTAAAAAACAAAACAAAACAAAACCTTGTAGGGACTTTGATTGGAATTGGATTAAATCTATAGTTTACTTACCGGATAATTAACATCTTTACCATTTTTTTAAGTCAATTTTTTAAATATAGTTTAATTTTCTCTATAGTGTTTTTGCACATCTTGGATAGATTTATTTTCAGATATTTTATTTCTATTATCTTAAATGGTTTCAATTTTTATGCTAATTTTAAAAAAATTTTAATATAGTATGTGTAAAATGCTGTTGATTGATAAATACTGATCTTGTATCTGGCAACTTTGCTATATTCTCTTATTTATTTTATAATTTATCCACAAGTCCTTTGGGTTTTCTCATAATGACTCATTAGTTTCATATTATAATTTTGCCTCTTCTTTCTAATTAATCCTTGTTTATCCCCACATACCCGTCCTCTCCTTAGTTTTCTGCAGTGGCTAGGTAACCCTCTGCATATTGTTAACAGAGGTTGTGATAGAGGGCAGCTGACTCTGTTGTGCCTGTGTCCTTCACCATCTGGTTTCTATTACTTTGGAACCTCAGGTCTCATCTCCATCTGCTTTCTTTGTGGCTCACTCTGATCTAGCCATACCTGCCTCCTTGCTATATTCTGAACACACTGCGCATACTCCCACCTCAGGACCTTTGCATTCATTCCATGGACTGGAATGTGCTGCCTTCAGATACCTGCTAGCTTCACTTCCTTTCAATCTTCACTTCAATATCACCTCAGAAAGGCCTTCTATAGCTACCCTATCTTTTAAAACAACAATTTTATTGCAGCATTATATTATATATCATAGAATTAGCCCATTTCAGATACATAATTGTGCAGCCATCATAATTAATCAGTTATAGGACATATTCATCACCTAATAATATCCCTGAGTATATTTACTGATAATCCCTGTTGCCACCGTGTGCCCCAGGCAACCATTGACCTACTCTCTCCATTGATTTCCTATTTTGGACATTTTGCATAAATGGATTCATCCTGTATGTGATCTCATATCTTGCTTCTTTCACTTAGCATGATGTGTTTGGGGTTCATTTGTATTATAGTATGAATCAGCACTTCATTTCTTTTCATGGCTGAATAATAATTCTGTCGTATGGGAGTAGCATATTTTATTTATCCAAATGTCAGTTGATGGGCATTTGGTAGTTTCCAATTTTTGGCTGTTCTGAATAATCCTAGCCATACTGTCTTAAAAACTAACCCTTCTTCTATGCTTCTACAATACACTTCTGTTCTTCTCTGCTGTATTTTGTATCTTACCCCCTTACCAGTATCCGGCATTCCACTTGTTTTCCTTATTTATCCTGTTTGTCATTTATCTCCTTCACTAGAATCTAAACTCCACAAAGGTATAGATTTTTGTTTCACACTGATCGCTGTTGTACATTGGACCTTGAAACTGTGTCTGTCATATAGTAGACAATCAGTAAAAATATGCTGAATCAATAAAGGAATAAGTGAATGGATGAATTGGATGTTTACTATATACTGTACTAAAAATATTTTAGGAGTCAAGTGGCTTGATGTTTGTGTGATGATTTGGGATATTTCAGTGTACTTTCCAGGGATTGCTGATAGTTGGAAGGTTTCCACCATGTGTAACTTTTTACTCATATATTCTCATTATAGGGTTGTTGTAATCACTTTGAAACTATAGTATGGGGTCTGGGCATGGCATCACATGCAGTATGAAAAAACCACAGTACCCCAGCGTCCTGTTGAGAGGTATTAGTCCCTAATTGAAATTTTTATTTGGGGGATGTTTCTCTTGTGTGTGTATATTATGATCTGATATAGGAAGTCTTCTGATGAGGTAGTATTTGAATAAAGTCAGTTTGTTATTAACCTAATTCTAAGTGCAGTCAATTCTTAGATTTTTTATTACATATTTTAGATGATTAGATATTAGATATTTTAGATGATTACTTTTCTAGGACCTGTAGCTTAGCATTTATGAATTCTATTTTTTTTTTTTGAGAGGGCATCTCTCATATTTATTGATCAAATGGTTGTTAACAACAATAAAATTCTGTATAGGGGAGTCAGTGCTCAATGTACAATCATTAATCCATCTCAAGCCTAATTCTTGTCAGTCTCCAATCTTCTGAAGCATAATTATGAATTCTATTTTTAAGACATTATTTTTCAAGTCCATTGTTACTTTTCTCTTTACAGTTGCTTGTGTTCAGTGTTCTGTAACATTGTCAGTCTGTTTTTACACTTTAGAGCTATTACTTTTCATAACTATCATTAAGCTTTACATAGCCTGTTTCTTTGGTGCCTAGTTTCTCATTCTTTCTTTTTGGATTCTCTGTCTTGCTTAGACAACAAGCTGAGCTTGAGTATTAAGTTGGAAAGTACTTGAAGATGAGGTGTTGCTGGAATTTCTCTTACAGTGTATTTTAGCTTTGCAGTGAAATGCTTTGAAATAGATCCTGATTTACCTATTATCAATTTTTTTGTAATTTTGTCTGAAATGTTTTTCTCTTGTTTTCTTAGTGATTTTTTCTTACTTAAAATTTTTTAAACTGCCTTTTATCTGTTTTTGATGCAGATAAATACTGAAGAACATGTGGATGCAGCTGATGAGGAGGTTATCTTATGGGATCATAAGATACCTGAAGATATCCTGAAAGAAATATCCACTACTAAAGAGGTACCAGCAGAAAGTGTTACTGTCTGGATTGACCCACTTGATGCTACACAGGAATATACAGGTAATTTGAAAATTAAATTGATTCCAAACTTTGGGTTGCCATTATGTATCAGAGAAGCAGAATAAGGGCAAATGGTATATACATGGTAGTAAATATTTTACCAATTGGACACCACTTTTCCAATTAGATTTTAAGATGGCTGAATTAATGCAGTATAGATGAAATCTTTGGACTCAATGGGTTATTTTCAACCTTTATTCCCCCCAAACTATATTATGACATGTTCCTGCTGGTAATAATGGCTCACTGTGTCACTGATTCTTCAGGGGAGGGACATTTTTAGTGGTCACAGCAACAAAATGGATACCTATTTATTGAAGTGTGTATTTATACTGATTTGTATTGATCTGTATGTTAAGGTATGCGTCGTTGAGGTATTTATTTAATAGCCAGAATACAGTATTTACTTATGACGTGGGGAATTTAGATTTTATTGTGTATACATTTATCCCTGAAATTCAAAATAGTAAATCCTAGGCACTCAGAGAGCAGGAAAGGGGCAAAACAGAGTCACCAGTTGCCCCCACCCCCATTTCTGTTCTCATCCTAGCTCAGATTTCATCTCTGTGGATCCTCTCCCATGCCTGTTTCTTACTCAGGTATTTAATTCTTGCTTTTTTTTTTTCTGTTGTCATATATATATATATATATATATCGATTGCTTATATATTTGTCTCCTAGACGGTAAATTCTCTGAATCTGGGGGCTTCTGCTTTTTAACCTTTGCATTCTGCTTCTTAAGCATTGAACTTGAACCATAATAGACACCTCCTAGGAACTATTTGGAGAACAGGGAAAAGATAGTAGGCGGGTTTATCTAATAGTCACTGAAATTACAAACAGTATTTTACAAGAATATTAGAAATATAATAAAAATATGGGCTATTGAGTGGTTTGTTTATAAAAAGTTTTTCCTAAATTGAGGTAAGCTTGATGATACGTGACAGTCCAGTCTAAACTTGAATTTTAAATTTAACCTTAAAATCAAAAAGGATTTTAATATTTTAAAAATTTTTTTCTCATAGAGGATCTTCGAAAATATGTCACTACAATGGTGTGTGTGGCTGTAAATGGTAAACCTGTGCTAGGAGTAATACATAAGCCATTTTCTGAATACACAGGTAAGGAATATAGTAGAGCTTTCAAGAGTTAATCATTTGTTTTATAATACTTTATTAAGTCACTTATTTAGTCATTTGTTATTGACTCATTTGTCTACAGTACTTACTGTCCTGTCAGAATCTCAGCTGTAGCTCAATAATTATTATCAATTCCCTACTCTCCCTCACCACTGACTTCACTGGATCCAGTGAGGATTTTGTTGGTGGTACACATGATAAAGCAGAGCTTTCTAAACTTTCTTTAGAGGGTAGAAACTCTGTTAAATGAAGATGAGAGGTTCTTAGTGTGTTGGGGAATACACTGGGCATGCATAGGCTCTCTAGCAGCAGAGGTCCTGTCTGTTTCTCTCATGCTTTGGGAATAAGGTCCAGGGCCCTTACACATTGGATTCTATGTGAATTCTGAGATCCACCATGAAGTGGACTTACTCAAATCTGTCATACTGTTAAGGGAATAAGCTTGATATTGTGGTGGTTAAGGGCAGTACCAACCTCAGCATCAAAAGTGGATGGTGACATTGTGAGTCCTAATCATCAGGCTAATTTGTGGATGCAGCTCATTTGTGGAGTCATGTGTGTACTAGCCATCAGACACCCTTCAGAGCTCCTTTGGACCCTTGTTTCCCAACTTGATGTACTCACGGTTGTTAGGTTCTTGCAGTTGACAGATCAGATGCATGATGGTCATGTTGGGAGTGAAAGTGTGGAAAACCATGCCAAAGAACTTCCCATTCAGCTCAGGAATGACCTTGCCCAAAGTCTTCCCAGTGCTAATGAATCCTGGGATGATATTTTGGTACCACCACAGCCACTTACTGTGGTCTGCCAGAGAAACTAGCCATGGTCTTCCAGACAGCAGTGATGGCATGGACTGTGGTTACAAGTCCATGATGATCCTGCCATAAGCTGTCATGGTAGAGAAACTGAAGGAAACAGTTAGTGGTGTAAGCAGTACTGCTGCCAGTCTGAGGGGAATGTCATGCTTTTCCTTGTGGTAACTCCCATCAAAAACTTGGGGCAAGGATTATGGCTCTTTTGGTTATACTGGTCTCTAAGATGATGATGTTCCTGATTGTACAGTATCTGTTTTGTCAGTGTCAAAAGCAGTCCTGATGACCAGGTGTACTGGGTTGAATAATGTCCCTCTCAAATTCATGACCACCCCTGAATTAGTTTCCTACGGCTGCCATTAAAACAAAACAAAACACAAACTATGTGTTTTTAAGCCAGAGACATATAGTCTTATGTTTTTGGAGACTAGAAGCCCAAAATCAGGGTGTTAGCAGAGCCATGCTCTCTCTGAAACCTGCAGGGGAGAATGCTTCCATGTGTTGTTCTTAGCTTCTGGTAGGTTGTCAGCAATCCATGGTGTTGTCCCTTTGCTTGTAAACATGAAGCCATCTCACCCTCCATTTTAATGGCATTCCTTATTTGTGTTTCTGTGTCTCTTCTCTTCTGATAAAGACCCTAGTCAGAATGGGTTAAGAGCCCACCCTACTCCAGCATGACCTCATCTCAATTTAGTAATCTACAATGATCTTGCTTCCAAATAAGGTCCGATTCTGTGCTGGGGGTTAGGTCTGCAACATACCTTTTTGGGGAGCACAATTCAACTCATAAGAATTCGAAACTTCAGAATGTAACCTTATTTGGAAAAAGGTCTTTGCAGATGTAATTAAGGTTTAAATCAAGATGAGGTCATCCTGGATTAGGATGGCCCTTAAACCAGTGAGAGTACCCTTCTAAGAAACAGTAAACAGACAAAACGGGATGGATAAGACAGTGTGATGGTGGAGGCAGCCTGGCATGATTCATATAAGCCAAGGAACACTAAAGATTGTTGCCAGCCACCAGAAGCTTGGAGAGCGTCAGAACAGATTCCTCCTAGAGCTTCTAGAAGGAACAAACCCTCTCAACATTCGATTTGGACTTCTTACCTCAGGCTGTGAGAAAATAGATTTCTCTTATGTAAGCCACCAGTTTGTGCTACCTTGTTAGGGCAGCCCTAGGAAGCTGATACACCCAGCATCCATACAGTTCTATGGGTACTTCAGCCTTCCCCACTGTGTCTTAGTGGTGTGGCTAACACTACATAAAAGGCTGTCAAGTGGAAAGAAACAGAGATAAGGCTGTTTCTGATTACTCTAAATTTATGTGCATTGCAGAGTAACCTTGTTACTAAAATCTAGCTGCTCTGAGAGAAGCTAACATACACTTGAGTGTTGGTTCTGTATTTCGAAACCAAATTTTCTTTGTGCTTATCTGACCTTTTATTTCCTTTGCATAATCAGGTAGTACTTACAGTTAACTTGATGAGATACAGAAGATTTATGTGGTAACTATGGTAATTTGCCTTAAGATTAATTACATAATTGCTTTATGGATTGCTTTCACCTATTTCCTTTACTCTTTACTGCATTGGTTAGAATGTAAGTTAGGCTACTAATATAGGCAGGCCACTGTAGTAATATACACCCAAATACAGGAAATTGAACAAAATAGTTTCTCTTTAACAATTTTATAGGCAGACCAAAGCTGCCATGGCAGCTCCGTCATGCCAGCCACACAGACCATTCTCTCTTGCAGCTTTGCTGTACTAAATTTTGTTGCCCTCCTCTGCATGACTGAGGATGGCTCTACTGCCACATCCACATTCCACCAATGGAGAAGGTTAAAAAGGGAAACAAGGGGGGACGTTTTTCACTCCACGTGTGACCTCTGAGTTCTGCACATCACTTCATCTCACATCTCATTGATCAAAATATAGCAAGAACCCAGCTGGAAGCTAAAAAATGTAGTCTTCATTTTTATTGACCAGCTGGAAACTAAAAAATGTAGTCTTCATTTTTAGTGACCACCTAAAATGAAATTCAGGGATTCTTCACTTAGAGAGAATATTGTGATATTGGAGTATAACTTGGCAGTACAGCTGCTCTTAGTAGATCTCATGAGGGAGGAATACAATTGCTATTAGTACTTCCACTTCCCATATGATATGAGACTCAGAAACTTGATACATTTCTTAGTCTCATTCAGCTAAATTAGAAGGGGAATCAAGCTCATGAATTTTATGCAAATCAATATATCACACCACTTTCATAATAACTCCTTGACTCCTAACATAATAGTGTTTGACAATTTGCAATATACTTATGTTATCTCACTTAAAGTTTTCAGAAACTGTATAATGGAAAACATTACTCTGTTTTTTTATAGAGGAGAAAAGGGGCTTAGCACCTCTTATGAAAACCATGCAGTTCAAAATGTTGCAGCAAAAGCTAACTATTCCTTATTAATATCTCACATTTGTTTTGTATTTTCACAGTTTATGAAGTGTATTGACATAAATTCATTTCAGCCTCAAAATAATTGGTCATTTTAAGGGAGAGACCAAGGATAATGCCCTTTTAAAGAAAAATTTATTCCATAAGAATATATTAACTACTACCCCCCCCCAATCTTAGGTTTACTTCCCTTAAAACAAGTCAAAAGTCTCTAAGTTAGGAACAAGTTGAGTTCCCAAAATGTCTTTGTAACTTAGTAATAAAATGCACTACTCTTCTCTGATGGAGCTGATTGCACAACATGCTGGTACTTAAGATGCTTGCTAGTCAACAACCATTCCAAAAGAATCAGTAAGTCCTTAATTAGGTGTGGGTTGACCTTCCAGTCCTGGATCAAAGGTTTGTTCAGCTTGTGTTCTCTTTTTGGACTATTATTTTCAGGTCTAGACTGTATATTGCTGTTGGCAGAATACCAAGTATTGTATGTTTACAAAAATTTAGCCACTCTTAACTCTCATGAGAGCTAGATATTATTTTTGGCAGCAGTTAGAGCAGAGCTGATCAAAATTCTTATCAGACTTCATTAAAATTAATTCAACTGTGAAATTCTTAGAAGCAGGAGATTCTTGAATAGTATTTTAATGAAGTAATGTTTAAATATGTAAGTGAAGTATGTCCACTCTGGAAATTTGTAGCAGTTAAAGACTTTAAAATGTCTAAAGTCTGGGTGCAAAGTACCAACCACTTTATATCCTGTTGAACTTTTCTTTTATCATGTCTTACAGATAGAATAAACACATTCTGTTAGTTGCTACTTCATCACTGTTAAGCACCTACTGTATTTTTTAAGGTGTTTAAAATAATTTGTCCATATGTGTGTTAGGACTACATATATTGAGATTCTATGTAACATAAAATATTAAGTTGGTACCAGAATAATTTTAGAAAAGAATTACTATCTGCTAAGCTGTACTGTCTTATCCTCTTATACAATACTGACCTCTAGAGATACAGCATTGTAAATTCAGTTAGTAAAACTTTCTTTAATCATTTCTAAGAATAATTTAGAGGAATTTTTTTTCCTCTTTTTTTATTTTTATTATGAATAATTTCAAAGAAACAAAATTATAATGAATTTACCTACATTTAGCAGTTGATAAAATTTTATATATTTGCTTCCTTTTTCTTTTCTTTTTTTTTGCCTTTGTACTTAAAAAAAAATAACCAGAATCATGACATTCTACCCCTGTATACTTCAGTATGCATTTATAAAATGGACATGTTTCTACAGAAGAGCAATATTATTAATATAATAATAAAATTAATCATTCCCTAATTGATGTAATACTCACATTTCTCCCACTTGTTCCTAAAGTGGAGTTTAAAACTGGTTACTTCAAACCAAGGTCCAGTTAGATGACAAGCATTTCTTTTGTTTGTTAGGCTGTTATATTAATTCTTATCATCTGGAGCAACCTCCAGTCCCATTTTCCTAACCAGGTTGGCTTGTTGAGATCAGGTCAGTTGTCATAGAATGTCCTGCCTTTCATATTATCCCGATTATTTTCTCAGTGTGTTCTCATGCAACTTGCTTATTTTTCATCCTCTTTTTCTTAAAAACTGCAATTAGGTCTAAAGCCTTGATTGGATTCAGGTTGACCATTTTTGTCAGTAATACACTGTAGGTTATTCTTCATGTACTTCCTTACCACACCATTTAACATCTCATCTCACTGTGGTGATGCCGCGATGGTTGAGGCACTCATGACCAGATCTCTCAGTTACAAAATTATTTAATTCTCTTGCTACCAGCAAGTAATCAAGAGAGAGATTTTTGGCACCAGTATATCTTTAACATAATAGTTTTAAGATCTATTAAAGATATAAAATGGGATTTACTAATTCTGTTGTTTATGTAAACTAGAATTGCATAGAGAAACTTCTCTTCAACTGGAGTTACTTATTTATCCTTGTCTCTCAACTCACTGGCCTGTTCCGTGGTGAGTGGAATGAGAAAGAAAGGATATATGTTTAGCTCTTTTCCTTCACCAGTTTTCAAATAAGGAATAAAGTAAAAACTACTTCCAGTGGGAGCAAAATGTTATTTCTTTGGGAAGGAGCCGACTTTCTTCTTTTTTTTTTTTTTTTTTTTTTTAAAATTTATAGTCAAAATTAGGTTAAATTTTAACCTATGATCTCCTATATTTTTATATTATTGAAACTACAGTTATTATTTAGCAAGTTAAATTTGTTCTTTTTGTTTTTTTTACTGACAAACATTAATAGATATTTTTTTAACCATTTTATAGTCCTTTTGCTTTAGGTACTATCTGCTGGTTCTTTCCTATGAGCAGCAATTAAATTAGCTTATTTTAGCCTCTTCTTGACCAGCCCCATTTTAGTTAATCATGTCTTTTTTGATGTTTATCTTTATGCTCTACTATTCAACTCTTGAGATTTAAGTGGTACTCTGGGCCTCATCCACCAACTATGAGATAACATTTTATACACTTTTATCTCTGGTATCCTCTTAAATCTACAGTTAAATTTATTCAATGCTAACCAATAGTGCTTTTGCCATGAGAGTTCCTCAGTCATCCTTTGGTTGAATAAAGCTTATTCATCTTCAGAAGAGCTAACTCATAGATGTGAAATTACCTGAGTTCCTAACATGTTAAAAGCTTTTCCTGTACCCTGGTACTTGAAAGATGACTTGACTAGATACAAAATCCATGGTTCACTCTGTATTCATTTCGTAGGGCAGCTATAACAAGACTAGGTGGCTTAAAATAAGAGAAACTTACTCTCTCACCGTTCTGGAGGCCAGAAGTCTGCTCTCAGTTTATTGGCAATGTTGCACTCCCCATGAAGACTCAAGGGAAGAACCCTTGTCTCTTCCAGCTTTGAGGGCTGCAGGCATTCCTTGGTGTTCCTTAACCTTTAGATACATTACTCCAATTTATGCCTCTGTCTTCACATTTTCTTTCTCTGTACTTCTGTGTCTCCTTTTCTTATAAGAACACCAGTCATTCAGTTTAGGGCCCATTCTAATCCAGTATGACCTCAACTTTAATTACATATCAGAAGACCCTATATCCAAATGAGGTCATGTTCTGAAGGTTCCAGGTAAATGGGAAATTTGCTAGATACTGTTCAACCCACTACACTCTCTTTTCTTGGTTAACTGGTAGGAACTGTTGAACTGGTATAATAATAACTATGTTGGGTGCATATTGAATCTTTTGGAAAGAAGACTGAAAACCAGATTTTCTTTCCTTTATAAGTAGCTTGGTCTTTTTACCTGGAGTGCCAACTTAATCTTTAAAGTCTGATAATAGAATTATTCTGTATCTCAGATTCCGAGTTGACATTCTGGGAGGATGTCTCTTATTTCAGGGGCATTTTTGTTGAATCATAATTTTAAAGATTAGTTTTACTTCATTATTTTGTTTTTCTTTTTCAAGGACTCCTAATGTACATAGTATCTTTCATTGGCTTCTGTGTTTTCTCTCATCTCTTTTATCTGTTTACTTGTTTCACATATTCTTTCCTTTTCTCATTTCTCATTATGCTCTTGGACAAATCTGTTGTCTTTTATGTATCCTGTGACATAGTGCTAAGTCTTCATTGATTTTACCCTTTTTTTCTCAGTTTTTTTCTTGTATTATATGAGTACCTGTAACCAAGTCCAAGCTCATTCCACTCACCACACAACAGGCCAGTGAGTTGAGATACAAGGTGTTGGGCCAAGAAAAGTGAGTGCATTCAGAAAGCCAGCAGATCAAGAAGATCGTGGACTCATGTCCTACAGCACCATCTTAACTTGGGGTTGATTGCAAGCTGCTTTTATGTTAAGGAAGAAGGGAGGAGTGGGAAGAGCTTAAGGTCAGGTGGTGGCAGTTGACAACCTCAGACATCTGGTCATCAGCAAGGGGCTGGGAGGGTTGTGAAACTCCTTGTACTTGGTTAGTTGACTTCCATTGACATGATTCTGGTTATAGGGTTCCTATAAGTCCTGGACAAAACAGTCATCATTTTTGTACATACTTCCTTATCTCCTCAGGGGAGGGGAGGTTCTGGTAAGGGGCTGTTTGTATCATCTTTAAGTCATGATCAGAATTCCGTTTGATGATTGAACCAGCCTGCGTGCAGGGCTGCAGGGTTGCACAGAAGCTTTTTGATCGAAAGATTAAGGCAGCAAAGGGCACAGATACAATATGAAGACTGAGGTGCCAAGATTTTTCACCCTGTTACTGTCCCATTTCATATTTTCCTGTTGTTTATCCATTGTTTCTGAGTTTGTTTAAAGTTTTATTTTTTGTTGCTTATTTATTTATTTTTAATGATGTCAGAATGTTGTGTTATAGTTTAACTCTGCTATGTAGGTAGAAATTTTCAAGTAGTCTGAAATGTTTTAATCTTCATTCTCAGGGTTTTCTTAGTTTTTTCAGTGCACATTTGCAGTTTTACATTTCTTACAGTGGAGCCAGCTACTATGAAATCAGTGGAAGAGTGGTGACAGAAAGGAGTTGGGATGATTCTCGGTTCCAGAGCTTTCTTTTCTGTTAACACAAGGATGGCATTATTTTTATTATCAGGCATCTTTTTTTCTTCACATTTCTTCTTTCTTGTTTGATCCTACCTTGTTTCAGGAGGGCTCTTCTCTTAAACCCACCCTTCTCATTAGTTCTATTTTCTGTTTCCCCAATTTTCTGCCTTTGAGAGATGTTCTAAAAGATACACATCTCATATGCTTTCAACACTTTGCTTTTGGTTCCATGTCTTCTTACTGCTTATGGTCAGTTTCAGGCCTACATTCAGTAGTTCTCAGTTTAGCTGGAAACTATTCCTTCTGGGGAGAAATCTTGGCTGATGTTATCTGAGTTCTTTCACTACTGAGAGTCCTTTGACCTCTTGACCTCTGTGAAGTCCCTGCCATATTCCCCACACTGGGCATGGCTGCAGCCAAGCCACTCTGCTGATCTTCAGTGTTTACTCCTCTTCTTTCTCTTAAATTTGTGTTTGTAGCTATCCTCTGTCTCTTGCTTATTCTTTAGGTATTGATTAAGGTATTTTTATTTTCTCTCCTTGTTGCTATGTGTGATTTTTAAAAAGAAGTATGAGGAGAGTGAGAGACTGCCATTATCATTAGGGACCTCAGATACCCAGACTAATTGTTTTGATTTTTCCTGCAGCCAGGAATAAGTGGTGGTGCTGCTGGTTTTGGTGCTAGCCCCAGTGGACATGTATTTATCCCATAGTGAGTGACTGCTAGAACATCAATCCAATAGGGATATTCTGAGTTTTTTTTCCTTATGTAGTTTGGTAGTTAGTGAAGAAAACTTCCCAACCAAGAACCAATATTTCAAACCCTCTTTGGGGTTTTCTCACCTTAATAAGTTTTCTTTTTTTTAATAAAAGAGATTTTAATAAAAAGCTTTTTTTATATGCTCTGATAAAGCAGATATGTAAACCTAACTCACTTACCTCTTTAACTATTTATATTTACAAAACTCCTTAAGAGATTGAGCCAATATACAAGTAATTGAAAGCACAGATATATCAAATGTAGAGGTAGAACACTTATAGAAAACTCTGTGTTAAATTTTGAATTATCTTGGGCATTAAATTGTGCCTGTGTCATAGGTTGTCACCAGTTGGGATGCCCAGGAGTTAGACCTTCAGGCAGAGACAAGCATGCAGGATGTTCACGAGGGAGTGCTCTTGAGATAGATTTGTGAAGGGGTGGCAAGGATGCAGGATTAGGTGTAGGCAGAAGTTGAGTTGTAGTGTGATCCCCCTGAAGACTCTGCGACTACCACCCCACAAAGAGCTCTAGAGCCTGGAGGTTCTGCCAAGTATGTAATAGTTATTATCTCTGGTGGAGCAGGAGTACATATCCTGTTTTAGCTTTGTCATAATAATGCCTACTTTAGGAAAAAAAAAAAAGTATTACTCTTGTCCTCAGAAAAATAAATAAAGCCTTCAGTTTTGGGAACAAAATGAAAATAATTGAAGTAATTCTGTGGAAAAGGGTATTTTTTCAGTCAAATTGTGGTACTTCGGTTCTAGTTTTAAAAGCTGCAGTGCTGTTAATGGGTACTGCATTTGCCTTTCAGCATGGGCAATGGTAGATGGTGGGTCAAACGTGAAAGCCCACACTTCCTACAACGAGAAGACCCCAAGGATCGTTGTGTCACGCTCCCATTCAGGAATGGTTAAACAAGTTGCTCTTCAGACTTTTGGAAACCAAACTACAATTATCCCTGCTGGCGGTGCTGGTATGTCCCCCCTCCTCTGAGATGCCTGTAAAGTGTTCCCAGCATGGCCAGGGAATGTCAGGAGACAGATGGTTGTCCTGTGCTCAAGAAAGAAGTGAAAATAGATAGTGTACTTTCCAGACAGGCATGAGCACCTACTTGCTTCTCTGTACGGTGGGATTTCAGTCACATGTCTTCTGATTAGAAACAGTCTCCCAGTAGAAACAATCCCACAACATAGTTTGGTAGTTAGTGAAGAAAACTTCCCAACCAAGAACCAATATTTCAACCCCTCTTTGGAGTTTTCTCACCTTAATAAGTTTTCTTTTTTTTAATAAAAGAGATTTTAATAAAAAGCTTTTTTTATATGCTCTGATAAAGCAGATATGTAAACCTAACTCACTTACCTCTTTAACTATTTATATTTACAAAACTCCTTAAGAGATTGAGCCAATATACAAGTAATTGAAAGCACAGATATATCAAATGTAGAGGTAGAACACTTATAGAAAACTCTGTGTTAAATTTTGAATTATCTTGGGCATTAAATTGTGCCTGTGTCATAGGTTGTCACCAGTTGGGATGCCCAGGAGTTAGACCTTCAGGCAGAGACAAGCATGCAGGATGTTCACGAGGGAGTGCTCTTGAGATAGATTTGTGAAGGGGTGGCAAGGATGCAGGATTAGGTGTAGGCAGAAGTTGAGTTGTAGTGTGATCCCCCTGAAGACTCTGCGACTACCACCCCACAAAGAGCTCTAGAGCCTGGAGGTTCTGCCAAGTATGTAATAGTTATTATCTCTGGTGGAGCAGGAGTACATATCCTGTTTTAGCTTTGTCATAATAATGCCTACTTTAGGAAAAAAAAAAAAGTATTACTCTTGTCCTCAGAAAAATAAATAAAGCCTTCAGTTTTGGGAACAAAATGAAAATAATTGAAGTAATTCTGTGGAAAAGGGTATTTTTTCAGTCAAATTGTGGTACTTCGGTTCTAGTTTTAAAAGCTGCAGTGCTGTTAATGGGTACTGCATTTGCCTTTCAGCATGGGCAATGGTAGATGGTGGGTCAAACGTGAAAGCCCACACTTCCTACAACGAGAAGACCCCAAGGATCGTTGTGTCACGCTCCCATTCAGGAATGGTTAAACAAGTTGCTCTTCAGACTTTTGGAAACCAAACTACAATTATCCCTGCTGGCGGTGCTGGTATGTCCCCCCTCCTCTGAGATGCCTGTAAAGTGTTCCCAGCATGGCCAGGGAACGTCAGGAGACAGATGGTTGTCCTGTGCTCAAGAAAGAAGTGAAAATAGATAGTGTACTTTCCAGACAGGCATGAGCACCTACTTGCTTCTCTGTACGGTGGGATTTCAGTCACATGTCTTCTGATTAGAAACAGTCTCCCAGTAGAAACAATCCCACAACAGTGATTTCTGTTCCTTGAATACCTCAAAGACATCTTATGTCAATGATGTACTTATAATTATCCCTGCTGATGGTGCTCATATGTTCCTCTTGGTGGTTTTTACATATGATTTAATTTCAGAGTAACTGGAGGGATATCAGGGAGAGAAGGAAAGATAAGCACATTATGGTGCCTCATATGGCAGGATGCCAAGGAACATCGTAAGTGCTATTAGAATGGCCAATCCTTGGGTCACTGTTAACACCCTGAACCCCTCAGCTTGCATGTCTGGGATGAGCCAGAAAAGAGTCTAGTGCCCACCCTACTTAATGTATATTCTGCACTATTACATTACCTATGGTGTAGGTCAAGTGTCAGCTGACTTTTTCTTAAAGGCTAGATAGTAAATATTTTAGGCTTTATGAGTTACATATGGTCATTACTGCATACTCTTCTTTGATACTTACATTTTTTAACTTCCCTTTAAAAATATAAACAGGCATTCACAACTTGAGGGACATATAAAAACAGGCCATGGCCTGGAGTTGGCTCATGGGCCAGTTGCCCACCCTTGTTTTAAGTGCTGTTTAAAGTGACAGAAGTGTTATCATTCAAATATATAGCAAATTATGATCTGGAACATTTGTGTTTGAAGACCTTTTCAGCACAGTATTAAAGGGAAAAGTAATGCTTAGTAACTTTTAAGCCTCACAATTTTAATGTACTGATTACATATATCTGCCTTCCTTTATATGACTTCCTTATTTTCTTACAGGCTCTCCATTAGGTTGGTTAAAAAAGATAATGTCCAAAACATTCAGTAGGAATGGGATAAACCAAATTCTAGACCCAGTTTCTTCTGCATTGTTTTATTTGAAAAATTCTTTTTACAAAAAAGAAAAGTTAGTAGTGTTATTTGTGTTCTCTTCTTTTAAATCTGGCCTTACTAGATACTCAAGTGAATCCTGTAGTGATGAGCTTCAGTATTATATTCCATAGGAAATGATACATAGTGAATGTAGCATTCGGAAAACAACCAAAGTAGATTTAAATTTAAAAAGATTATAGACATATATTTGGTTATACTTGAGAATAGCTTAATAAGTTACTTTATAGTATTTTTTGCTTATTTGGGTCTAATGTCTGTGCTGTTACTTTAAAAAAAGGAACTAAAAATAATTTAGACTTATTAGTTGCAAAGATAGTTCAGAGAACTTCTGCACACCCTGTACTCCTATTTTTAACAGTTTTCTCAAAAAAGGAAGCTTGATTTCTTTAAAAATCTTTTTAACAGTAACTTAAATTCTGTTTATCTTTTAGGTTATAAAGTTTTAGCGCTCTTGGATGTACCCGATAAGAGTCAAGAAAAAGCTGATCTATATATCCACGTGACATACATCAAAAAGTGGGATATATGTGCTGGCAATGCAATCCTAAAAGCCCTTGGGGGGCATATGACTACCTTGAGTGGTGAAGAAATCAGTTACACTGGTTCTGATGGCATTGAAGGTGGGCTCCTCGCCAGCATCAAAATGAACCACCAAGCTCTGGTCAGAAAACTCCCAGATCTAGAGAAGACAGGACATAAATAAGCAAAACATAGGTCACAGCTCTTCCAGAGCTGAATGGTAGCCTGAAACGCTGGAGGCTTCAAAGCATCAGTGGAGACTATGCATGGTTAAGGCCATCCCGAACTTTTGAAAGTATTTATGAAGCATCAGAGACATATTTTCCCTGTAATAAGATGCAAGATTAGGGAAAATGGGTTGCTTCGTGTCTCAAGTATTGTCTTTATTTTTGAGACTATTTTCATACAGTTGTCATACACAAGGCACATATATATATATACATGTACATATGTGTGTGTGTATATATATTTGTGAATTAAAATCTAAAGCTGAGTCCATATTGTTATGAGTCACCATTTTAACACATCATGAATCTTCACTGTTTGTTAGTAATTTCATATAGAATTTAGCTGAAGAAAGGATTGATTTTGTGTAGATGTTTAATATTACTTTACAATTATATCATAAAAAATAAATAATTGGGGATTTTCTACCCCAATTCAGATGGAAAGCACAAGAAGCCACATATTCATTAACATGCAACAAATGCTCTATTTATCTGTTATTGAATGTTTCTTATGGATTAAAATACAGAAAGCTAAAATTGTTTTTTCTTTGTAATTTTAATAACAGGTTAACCAGATAGTAGAGAATATAGGCATATGAAAGCCGTGTCGTAATTTCTGTGTATGTATGTTTTGTTTGGGAGGTTTTGATTTTTTTTGTTTTATAAAGTATGTTTGTACCCATGGGTTCACCATTTCTGCTATCTTGCTGTTGGTTTTCATTTGCCCTGTGGATAGTGCATGGTTGCATCCCTTCGCTCTTGACCAACAGTTAGTCTTTAACTTGTAAGGTTTGGATTAAGGTTTCAGGGTTAGCACTAGGATTTTTGGTACATTTCTCATTAGGGATAAATTATGCTCTAAAGCAACAAATACAAATGATTCTATAATTGAGTTATTTGACATTACATGAATTGAGCTGGCTTTTGTTATTTTCAAAAGTTTTGTTTTAGTACTTTAAAAAAAATTTGCCAGATTTTTATATACAGATTTTCTAATTATCAAGAATGAGTTATAGTTGCTCTTGCTATGGTTGCTTTTATTCCTAACTTAAACATACTCTCAAAAGTAGTAACTTTTGAGATACTTTATAGTTCCCTTAAAATTAAAATAATGAAGTTTAAATTTACTTTTTGAAGATTTTTTTTTCCTATTGAATATGCAGAATCTGACTGGAAGAAAGTCTGTGGCATATTCACTGTGTCACTGTAATGAGAACCTTGCTCTGTGAACTCTTTCATTGGGATGTCTGATTTCTCTCAACGTGATATCTAGAAATTTCATGTATACAAATACCATTATTTAATGTGATTTTTTTTCCTTGCATTCTATAACACACTGGTAAGGAGAGAGATTTCTCATGGTTTCTTTTTAAAAAAATTCTAACTGTAAAACAACTTTCCACTTATTTTCCTATCTTGGAGGTAAAATTGACCAAAGAATGGATATCCTCACCTGGTGAATGTGCATACAACTGTAGGTCTGCGTATCATACTGTCCAAAGCCCTTTAATTCCTCATTAGGGAATTGAATATAGTATGAGGCACATATTTCTACCCAATGTCTAGCAAATGGTCACAGATATGATAGAGTAGTGTGGGCCTCAGTATATAGGATTTTGTTCAGTGAAAATTGATACGAAGTTTTGGAACACTTGATATTTAAACAGGACTTAGGAATTCTGAACAGGATATTCAAGACCTTATCTTTTTACTCTGCAATGAGATGAGAAAATCCTTTTTCTCTCATGAGAGATGGCAAAAGCATAAGCTGTTTCCAGAGTCTTATAATAAAAGCATTTATTTTCATTGTAGAAAGAGGACTGCCATATCAGGAAATGGGATTTAATTAGAGGGCTTTTTCCCCAATATTATATGGAAACTTTCTGATTTAATGAAAATGAAACAAGTTCATATTAACAAGCATGATTGCTTTGCTTTAATTTCTCATTTCATTAAGCTGCATGTAGATGATGATTTTGTGAAGGGCTTGTGTTGTGTGCAAAAATTAAGATATTGGCCGACAGTTAAATGCTTTATTAGGTGTAGTCTAGTTACTAAAGAATTTTTAAGTTTTAAGCTTTTACGAAAAGTTCATTTAAAATTTTTGTTTCTAAAAATCAGTATACATTACAGAACTAATATAAATACCAAAAACAGTGTTTATATTTATTTATATGAGACATTATTGTGCCAGAACATACAAGGAAAACACCTTCCTGAATAATTGAGGCATGTAATATCTCCCAGAATTACATAAATACAGTTTCTGAAATGTAGCAAAATAACTAGAATTTAACTTCGAGTGACCCTTAGGTCCCTACCTCCTGGTCTTCCCTTTCCCTCATCTTTGCCCTTATTTAGAGGATAATTTTCTCTCAGAACTGAGTTTTGTACATCTCACTTTAGTAGAAGCAGGAACATCAGTAACCTCAGTATTCCTTAGCTGCCCTTGTTCTTTGCCCCTTCACCCAGCTTGTTCCCTATCTTCCTAGCCCATTGACATTCCTTTATTTCTGCTCTTCACCAGTATACTCTTCCCCAACACTTAATCTCTGAAGTCTATCATAGACCTGTTTTTCTCAAGTTGGCTGCTGAAATCTTAGGGTAGAACTGAGATTCTCTATGTATAAAGTTCCCAGTAGGAGAGGTCAGTCCTGGAGGAGTCCTAGTTGAATATTACTTTTCAAAGACTCCACAAAAAGTAAAGGGAAATCACCTTCATAACCACAAAGCTTTACACTGTCAAGTCTAAATACAGTGCTTCTCCCTTTACAAAGCATTTCTTCTGATCCATCATTCAGAGACTGAGAATGCAGAAAGTATGAGAGAGTTGGGTATGTAAGTCTGCAAGAGGAAACTTGCTTTTTCTATTAGTTCTCATACTTGTATTACTAGCTCGGTTGAGGTGATGGGCCTACAAGATGGGTCGTATTTGTCTTTGGTATTCAATTGTCCTTCTCTGCCCAATTGTGTTTTTTTTCTTGATTTTTAAAAATATTTAAATGAATTGCTTATGGCTATATAATGAAATTAACAGGCATTTTGGTTTATGTGTTTTAAGTAATTGCAATTCTGTTTGCTGGGTGCTCCTTTTGACTGTTGTGCAAATTGGGTTAGTGGAACTGGGGAAGGCTAAGTTAAGGCTTTAAAAAGAGAGAGCTGAGAAGGGTAGCAGTGGGAGGATGCAAAGCAAACCTCTGCCCTGACCCCTGATCAGGAATTCTGCTTTGTCTTAGATGTTTAACAGAAAAGTTAGATTTTACTCAGGCTTTGAAGGTCACATCTATGATAGCCCAGACATAAGTAAAGGCTTGAGGGGCGGCTACCTGCTCTTCCTCAGAAAAGAAATATCCAGCCTGCTTCTTTTTGAGAACACCTTGAAAATGGCCTTATCTTTGGCAGTTTAAAAACAAACTTTTTGGATTATTCTAGCTGCAACTACTTATCTTGGATCTGTGTTGATTGGCCCTGAATAGAAACAATGAGTTTTCATTTTAGATCTTGGTTGAATTTAAGACATACTTAGTTATTTGCAGTACATGCCTACAAAAAGTCTATCTTGTAACTTGTGTAAAATAAACCTAATCAGTGGTTTTATTTATATCATTTAAAAAGTTGTGCCTTAACAATAGGGCATTGTATGTTAATAAGGGAAAACAATCTTTTTTTAATGGATGGGGAAAATAGGAATTTTGCCATTAAAATTTAAGTTCTTTTAATGTTTTTAGTATTAGAGTTGGGGGAGACTCATTATGGCTAAATAAAAATGATAGAAAATTATTTTTGCATAATCTAGCATTTACAACGAGTACATTTTTACAAGAACTGGCATCTTGACGTATGTAGGTCTGAAATGATACTTCATCCTTTGAGTTTTAATTTTAATTAATATAAAAACAACATTTTTTAAAAACTTTATTTTTAAATCATTTCTGTGTGTTGTTATATCTGTTCTAGTCCTCTGATACTTTGGTTTTAAAAAATAACTATTTATTCATAGTATCATGTCAGTAATTTATTTTTAAAAAATACTGCGTGTTGTATGCTAAATAGATTAGTTCCTAGATGGGGGAAGGCTCTGATGAGCAGTTACTAAGAGGGCATGAAGAATTGAACTTTGTACTTCAAAAGGAGGGTTTGATTTTATGAAGTAGTGCTGGTTGTGTAAGTTTATTTCATCAAAGCCTGGCAGGTGTTTGCATTCCAGTTTACCATTGACAAAAGCTTACTGGAAAACTTTTCTTTTTTTAAAATTATTTTTAAAGTGGGTGGTGAATTAGTTTTGTGGGAAAAGGAAATTGACAGTTTTCCTTTGAGATTAAATAATAAAGCCAAACTTCCAGAAGTTAAGGATGATGAATAATATTAGAACAACTTACTGTATGTTGTGTTTGTCAGGGTTCCCTGAGGTATTACAATTCATATGTGTAAATTGCAAAAGCAGAAACTGTGATGTTAGATGAGTAGTATGTTCTGCTAAAATTCTTTTTTGAGGTGTATGTTGTACAGGTAGTAAATTATTATTCAGGAAGACTTGTTCATCCTGTATTTTTTTAAACAGGGAATACAGAAGAATACCAAGTCATCGTTAGATCAGTGAGCCCACAAAGACTTCATCTTCCCCAAATTATCTCCCCTGAGCTCTCTTCGTTAACATTAAGGAGAGAATGTTTATGGCCTTGACTTTATTGACTTTATGTGTGAAACATGGACTGAAATGTCTGCACCCTCACACCTGCCAGCAGCAGAGGCCAGAGCTAGCTCTGTAGTCTGAGGCCGTGGCGCTGCAGTGGCTTTCCCGTCTGATGGTGGTACTTAAGCTGCAGATGGATAGAGTTAGGTCTACACTAAAACAATGAAATGAAACAAGAGGCTGTCTGTGGCCCTGCCTCTGCAAACTTTTTGTTGCCATCCTCACTTCCTGTCAATCTCCTTTTTATAATGGGCTAACAATGGTGAGAGGGATTAGAATAAAAATACCTCCCAATACCCCTTCTTGCAGATGGTTAAAGCTGCAGGGGAATGGGTCTGCCTCCTGTTGCTGAGGCATGCTTGTGTGGACTCCAGAGTCTTTACTGGGCATGTCGTAGCCTGCCTCACGCCCACCACCGAACTGAAGGGGCCCGCACTTCAACATCTACAGGGAGGCAAACTCTTCCTGCCATGTTCTCAGAGTTTTTTTGTTACCTCACCTGTAGCACTCATTTTTATATGCACTGTTGTACACATCTTAAGGACAGGGATTACGTCTTGGTGATAACTTGTATTTCCACCTCAGCCCTGGCAGCTACCCCCATGTCTTGAACAAATTAGGTGCTTAACATATGTTGAGCTAAATCTAATAAAGGGTTACTACCAGCATTAGCATTTCTCATGCCTTAGTTCTACAAGCTGGTTGGTTGTTTCCTCTGCAAATAATTATCACCTCAAACACACTATATGATTATTTTAATTTCTGCTTTCTTTCCTTCAGAGACTACTACCCTGTGGCCAATTAGCTCTAGAAAATGTGATTTCCTCCAGTGAAATGATATTCCCATATTCTCTACCCCCGGATATACTTTGCCAAACTGAAATTTGAGTTTTCTGAATAAATTGGTCATGTCTGAAAGAATGTGTCCGCCTTTTTTTTTGTTTACTATGGTAAAATATACGTAACAAATTTACCATTTTCAAGTCTATAATCGGGAGCATTAAATTCATTCCAGTGGTGCCTACTGTCACTACTTTCCATGTGAAGAACGTATTCATTGTCCAAACAGAAACTAGCCACCCCTATTTCTCTTCCCCTCAGTCCTTGGTTACTATCCTGCTTTCTGTTTTATGAATACATCTGCTTTTGATCTCTCAATTTTATGGGATTTTGTCTTCTCTCACCATGTACACAAAAGTCGTATGTTTAAGAATGGGTGTACATGACAAAACTATAGCTTGAATCCTTTATCAGGGTTTTTAAAGTAAGAAGGTAGAAAAAAGAAAAAATTGAAGAAAGGCATTAATAGAAAATGTAAGATGAGAAAGAACAAGGTTTTTGTTGCCCTTGAGGCTTACAGATGAAAAAAAGATCATCATCCAGCCCCTTTAAAACATTATAGTGTTTAATTTGGTTTCTTGTGAGGATGAAAGAAGTTAAGTTTCAGAAAAAGAAGTACCTTTCATCCTATCACTGGCAAACTGGATTTTTCACAAGTAGCTGCGTTTTGTTACAATATTTTCTTTAGGTACACTTTAAAAATATAAATTGACATTCAAAGAGAAGCTTTTTCTAAAAAGAATGTCTTTGAATTTTTGCATCTTAAATTTCCTGAGGATTTCTTGAAATAGTGTTTGTCAGATTTGCATATTAGCATTTCCCACTTGACCAAGCTAAGTATAAAAATGGCAAGGTGGGTGGACCCTGTTCTGGTTTGTGAATTTCTAGGTGGTTGCTATTCTGGAATTCTCTACCACTCCTTCCACACCTGGCTAGTCTTTCTTGACTACAGTCACATATAGGAGACAGTATCTGTTTTGAAGGGTGACTTCCTGATACTTTAGAACACTAGGATACATGATTCATGTTGACTTGATATCTTGCATTATTTGGATTTATAGTAGATGTTCCATTGATAAGCCTTAGAAATTGTATTTAATATAAATGCTTGGCTCAGGAAAGAGCAGTGAGTTGAGAAGTGTGCTTTGTTTATCTAGCTCCCCTCTCTTTTCATTTATTTTTTAACTCCTGGTGAAATGGAAGAAACTTAAACCCCTGGCATCCATTTGAAGACATACAGCTAGAAAAAATACCAGCAGTTCCCATGGTAGGTAGGTGAGCTTTCTTCATAGTACATTTTAATTCATGGATATTACAGATCACTTCTGAGGCTCTCCTTTGGTATTTCTGTTGCTATGCCTAGCATAGATCCTGACATGATGAAACAATTTTCTGTACCTTGAGCGTGGCATAAGCTAGCAATGTTTCCTATACTGCCAGAGTAGGAGAGACTCCCTAGAGTCAAGCAGCTGCCTTGGAGCAGGTTTTGTCATGGATTATGTGAAACAAGTACCTAGAAAAGTCAAGATCAAGGAAGGTAAGGTGATAAAAAGGAAACAAAAGAACACAATGGCTATTCAATTGTTTGAGGAAAGTGTGTACGTATACAAGGGTCAGGAGTCAGAATATGTACATCTGAGGATGTTTGGATAACTAGGTTGCATGGTATTTTTATATTATTTATTTCAACCTCACTAAAAACCCATAAAAGAGAAGGCAAGTATTCCCATTTCAGAAATGGTCTTCCCTAGGTAAACGACAGTGGCCTCCCAGACTGCCAACTGCCAATGGCTTATCTGCTTCCATTTTGCTGTGGCTGATTAGCCATTCCTGGAAATTGTCTTTCATGTTTCATTTTGGTGACCTCCTTTACTCCTGGTTTGCCTTCTGCCTCTTTGACTACTTTTCAATTTCTTTTCCTGGGTCCTCTGCTGCCATCCATCCTTTCTGTGTGTGTTTTCCCAGATGCCCCATTCTTGGGCTTTTTATTCATCATATTCAGCACATTCTCCCAAGTCAATTTTCAACTATCATATGTGCCAAATGATTCTAAATTTTATATCTCCCAGTTTAAATTTCTCCTACACTTTAGACCTATATTTCAAAATGTCTCTATTTAATTGAATATTATGTATGCTTCTCAAATTCAGCATGTTCAAATCTCATTATATTCTAATACTTAGCATCTGCTGTTCTCCTTAGTTAAGAACATGAATGTCCAAAAGTCCCACAAACTAGAAAACAGAGGTATGTTGATCAACTTCTTTTAGTTGCCTGATCCAGTCTCAAGTGCTTGTTATACCTACCAAATATCCCTTGACTCTCTTTTTCAGTGTCCTCTGAACAATTTTGGACTCTATCATTAATTTAATATATTTTAAATGTTATGGTAAGTGTGGGGCAAGGTATAAGGGCTTTTTTAAAAAAGTTTTTTTCTTTATTTTAGATGTTAACATGTTCAGAAAGCAAATGAGTAAAACATAGATAAACAAGGCAAAAATATTAAAATTACCTTAATCCCACCACTCAAAGGTAACCATGATTCACACTTTTATGTGCATTGTTTTGCTTTCTCCCAATGAAAACACAGGTTATATATGCATACTTTAACAAATACATTTACATGTTTTTCTCTGCTTTGTCCCCTTAACAATATAGTTCTGACTTTCTTTTCATGTTAGTACTCATTTACAGGACAAGTTTTAATAGTTACATTCAGCTCTACAGATGTACATGATTTACTTATTGGATCCCTGTTGTATTTTTAGATTATTTTTCTGCTTCAGTTGTTACAAATAACACTACAGTAATCACCATGTGATTAATCCTCAAACTTCTTCTATATCAAATAAGACACTTAAAGAATATAAGCACTGGATACATTCTTATTAAATCAGTATATTTATTATAGAAAAATTATTTATCAGCCAAAATTGTAGACATACTCAAACACAGCTAACATACTGGCTGCAAGTCTGTGAAGTCCCCAAGGCCATCCCCAGGTTCAATAATCCACTAGGATAACTCAAAACTCAGGAAAGGTGTTATAATCATGGGTATTGTTTATCATAGCAAGAGGATACAGGTTAAGATCAACAATGGGTAAAGACACACAAGGCAGAGACCAGAAGGGCTCCAGGTACAGGCTTCCGATCGTCCTCCGTAGGCAGTGCTTGCTTCTGCCGTCAAATGTGCAGCAACATGCATGGAGTATTGCCAACCAGAGAAGCTCACCCAAGCCTTGGTGTCCAGGGTTTTTGTCGGGAGTTGATCTTGTAAGGATGACTGACCACTTCCTGGCTGAACTTACTCTCCAGCCCCTCCAGAGGTCAGGTTGATACCAGGTGACCCAAAGACTCTACCATAAATCCTATTATTAACATAGACTGTTTTGTATTGGCCCCAAGCCCCCAGGTAAAGAAAGACAATCTGATCAGGCATAATACACAAACATAGGGCTTAGAGGTCATCTCTCAGAAGAAGCCAGTTAGGGGCCAAACCTTCCTAGTCAAAGTTGATTCTTTATTTGCACACTGGTTTATGTTCTAACCTGTGTCTCTTTGGATATATAAATACATATGTTCCTTATCTTATTCAACTTACTTTTTCATGTCTATTAATACTCAACTGAAATATTGTTTATAATTGTGTTGAATAGTATTTTATCATATAAATGTAATGTTAGGTTATTTCTAATTTTTATTTTTGCTATGATGAATAACAGTACAATGATTCTCCTGGTTAGATCTTTGCACACATTCATCATTAGAAACCTTACAATAATTTCCTAGAAATGGAATTGTGGATTCAAAGGTTCACCACACTTTTAATCTCTTTTTATGTATATATAACCACAGTGTGAAGACTCCAGAAAAAGTCTGTTGATTTATGCTTCCACTGAAAGTGAATGAGTTTATTCACTTCAACTTATTCTCACAAATACTAGGTAATATTTCTTTAAAAGCCAAAATTATAGGTGAAAAATTACTTCAGTTTAACTTACATTTTTGTGACTCAATAAGTTTATTAAATTTTTTATATACTATTCATTCACTTGTATTTCAATTATGTGTTCTGTATTCACAGTATTAATGATATGTATATATTAATGAGAAGCCTTGGCCACACATTTACAATTATATTATCTAGTTTGTTTTGCCTTTTAAATTTCTATTCTTTCCATTGGTTTCTGGTTTGCATTGCTTCTGACAGGAAGTCAGCAGAAATGTTCAGCTTTAATCGCCTATATGTAACATATCTTTTTCCTCTGTTTTAAGATGTTCTCCTTACCGTGGCCTCTCGGTTTAATGGTGATGTGCCTTGGTGTGGTCTTTCTGTTCATCTTGTTTGGGGTTTGTTGACCTTTGTCAACATGTGGTAGGACATTTTAGAACAAATGTGAAACATTTATGGTCATTATTTCTTCAAATAATACTGAACCTTCTCTTCTCTGCTCTCCTGAGACTGTAGTTACTTTTAAGTTAGACTGCTTAGTACTGCCCCAGAGGCTGCTGAGGTTCTGTTCATTATTTTTTGTCTTTTTCTCTTTGTGCTTCAATTTTGAGAGGTTTGTTGTCATTCTTTCACTCCACTTCTATTGCCCTTACAGTTATTACCCTGGTGGCTGTATCTAATCTGTTGTTAAGTGTGTCCAGGGAATTTTTTAGTCTGAGTTGAGTTTTAGCTCTAAAGTTTTCCCTTGGCTATTGTTTGTGTTTCCGTGTGTCTCCTCATCTTATTCATATTTTAAATTCTTGAACATTATTTATAGTATCTGTTTTTAAGTCTTATCTGATAATTCCATCAACTGTCTACTTGATAACTTATTTTGCATATCAATATTTTATTACTTGATTGTTAAGAAATATCAGAAAATTATGTGAAAATAAAACATGGTCTATAAATATGGTAGTCTCTTCATTATTGTTTTCTCCTTTCAGACCACAAATGATCAGGAGAGTTATAATGAATCAAATTTGAATATCACTGTTCTGAGGATTCATATGCACTTTGGGGATTAAATATATGTAGTTTGATCAAAATGTCAGGATTGATATGATGTACATAATTTAAACTAA